ACTGCCATTGCTAATATTACTGATATTATTAGGGCCCGAGCACTGAACGTGCGAATACTGACATTGTCATTGTGAGCAAGTTAACCTGCTTACATTGGCACACCATGGCTTACAGAAATTGAAACCAGAATGATGGAGGAGTGGAGGGTTACATCAGTTGCAGAAACCTCTGTTGCATATGGAGCAACATACACTATGAAGGAAAGAACATATCAGTGTCAACCACACTGGGTTTCCTCAGGTTGTGGCTGGGGAGGTGTTGCGTTGTTACACTGCTCTCAGTAAATTGCTATGACTGTATGGTTTCATACTGCATCTGAATAATTCCAATGGGGATTTAACGTCAATGTTTCACACATTTTTGCTGTAAATTGTGATTTACAGTTTTGCTGTAAATTGTGATTGTTTTATGTGGTTGTACATACATTTGCCCCATCATGATATAGTGATATCTAAAGAATATTTTTATTTGTATTATGTACTGATTTCGAGCATCATTTAGCTGTACTGCATTATTGTGCAAGTCATTACACTTATTTTTCATTAGTTTTCATTATTTAATTTTTGTTTTCAGTTCAGTCAAATTTGTGTCCAGAGGATTGTTAATTCTTTTTATTTTTTATTGTTTAAAATATTTAGTTTTTATTTGTTTCAATATTATTTTTAGTTTTTTCTATTAAAAGAAAAGTATTTGTCAGAATAGGTATTACAATAGAAACACACTGACTCAAAGTCTCAATAAACAGATGGACTGGCAGTTTTTTTTTGCAGCAGCAGAGACTGTACTTTCTAAGGCGACTGAGACTGTGAGTAGCCAGATCATGCTGATGTTTTACAGGGCAATCCCAGAGAGCATCATTGGATGTGGACTCACAGCATGGTTTGGCAACTTAACAGTGCAGCTGAAAAGCTAGCCAGTAAGCACAAAATTTGAGGATAATCGGGAGGAAAGACTATGAGCCCATACAGAGCCTGTATGAGCACACAGTTATTAAACAAGCTGCAAAAATCATTTTGGACCCGCACCATCCCCCTTCCCCCTTCTCTGAATACGAACTTCTGCCATCAGGAAGAAGACAGGGTTTGTGTGCCAAAGTGCAAATCAAACAGACTGAAGTTATCGTTCGTCCTAACTTCTATCAAGCTGCTGAACTCTAAATCATAGCAATAGGGCAATGTGTAATAAACAAACCAGCATCGTAGCACTTTAATCTTTATAGTTTCTTACGGTCTCTTTTTAAGCTGCCATATTGTCAGTGTTAAAATGTATAGTGTCTTTTATGTTTTAAGATGTTTCATGTTGATTTTGTGATGAAGCACTGTGCCCAAGACAAATTTCCCCTCGGGGTCAATAAAGTTTATTCTATTCTATTCTATTCTATTCTATTCTATTCCCTCTCTCAGACAATAACTCATTTACACATATAAAACCAAACTGTAATGTAAGTTAATAATTACTGGTGTATAGATTTACTCATAGGAGTTGGAAATCAGTTTTAATGTGTGCAATCTGTGGATCTGAGTCTATTGGATCGTAACTTGGTACTTTATAAAATATATGTATTTGAAGGTAAGCAATGTCACTTTTATAGAATTGGATTTAATTTATAATTAAAATTGTATCAAATCATACCGAATTGTTCTATATTAAAATGCACTGTCCCTATATCATATTGTAGTCCATGTATCTAGATACATTTCGGATCGCCTTAGAAGGGAGAGATGCACACCCCTACTATTAATGAGTAAAATGGAAACTGGGCTTTCCAATCTCTGTCCCTGCCTGTCTACACTGAGCTGAGCTCAGGAGCACTTTCAGCCACAGACTGACCCAGCCCCAAGCCTCAAAGTGGTTTGGAGGCTCGTTTGTACCATCTGGCATTAGACTCCACAACGCCATTTACTGTCTTTTTGGTGAGCCAACGTGCACAATAGCAACACCCTGTTTGACATGCTTGGAATGGAACCTTAATCAGTGTCATTGGTAACACCTGTGTTTACATTTGCAAGAATCCACCGGGCCTGAACAAAAACAAGCCAATAAGAGCAAAGCAAGATAATTGATTGTTGAGTCTCATTCCCAGGGTGTCAAATGCAGACGCTTTGGTAACCTGGGAATGAGACTCTTTATATCGTTCTCAGCTCTGATTGGTTGTTTTCATCTAGGCCAGGCCATCATCAGCACTAGAATGAGCCAGAGGAACACAACTTTTTCACAGATTATCTGTCTTATGTACTACTGTCAGAACACAGTGAAAATGTCACCAATAATGTTACGTTATTTTTATAAAAGGTACCCACTGCAGCTTTAATGTTAGACACACCACATTTTCAAAGCATAATGCACACAGTAACATGAGTATGTAAAGGCCCTCTAGATTTGTTCTCCATGCCATGTGCAAACTGGCTCAGTGTGATTCTTTGCTACCTGCACTGCTTTCTGGCAGCTCAAAGACCACTCAGCATGAATAGTGTGCTGTTTTTAGGGACTGAGCCAGCGACCGCTGGAGGTCCCTATTGTATTTGCTATGTTTCTTCTCTTACCTATTATTATTATTTTTAGCGACTTCGACTGCATTTTTGCCCCCCTGAACAGTCAATTTTATTTGGCAAAGTGGTCAGGCCTGGTGAAAAATTTGATATTCTTTG